GTAACAAGAGTGAAACTCCGTCTCAAAAAAAAAAAAAAAAAGTATGTAAGGCCATTAGGACAGTGTCTGACATAAAAAAAAAGATGTCCAATAATATTTATACCCTCCCGATGTATTGTTTATATGCGGAATTCCATAGTAACTTGAAAACAGAAAAATACATAAATGTGTATATACTCTGGCTAAGTTAGTTTCCGTATGTTACTTTGCTTTCAGATTGACATAGAGATGTCTTTTGTAGACCAGACTGGGATCCAGAGTTTAATTGAGGGTTTGCTTCAGTATTCTTGGCCCAACGACAAAGACCCTGTGGTTGTTCCTTTTCCTTCTATGACTTTTGCTGAGGCGCTGGCCACCTATGGAACTGATAAACCTGATACTCGCTTTGGAATGAAGGTACATTTCTTCACTTTTCTAGGACTGTGTCCCCAAATACTCCTGCAGTCTTTTTAAACCACTTTGAAATTGACAAATGTTACACAAGGTTAGATGATATTTTTGTTGTTACCTTGTTACCTTTGTGGATACAGGGTTAGAGCAAGAGAGAATAATGGCATGTTAGCATTACAGTGCTTTCTTTCTATCATGTTCAAGATCCAGTTCCAAGAGCAAGATTCTTGCTATAAAGTTTTTATTACTTGCAAGTTATTGATTATATGGACATGAATGGTAACTTGGAAGAAAAAATAACTATTCTTTCCTTTTCAGTGTTTTTAAAGCCAAGCAGTTATTAAGTGTCCTTGGTCCATAAAAATCTCAAACATGACAATCTTGATTCAAATTATTAATATCTGTAAGTATTTAAGACAGGGGTAGAATTTATATAGAACAGCTTCATTACCAGGCCTCTACTTGTTTGCTCTTAAAGAGAAATAACCCTTGATCCCTGTAATGCTGGTGACATTTCTATATCTAAGTTTTCAGTGCACATTCTTTAGAAATTGAGTACTGCAGGGTGGGCGTGGTGGCTCACACCTGTAATCCCAGCACTTTGGGAGGCCAAAACGGGTGGATCACTTGATGTCAGGAGTTTGAGACCAGCCTGGCCAACACGATGAAACGCCATCTCTATCAAAAATATAAAAAATTAGCCAGGTGCGGTGGCACACACCTGTAATCCCAGCTACTCAGGAAACTGAGGCAGGAGAATTACTTGAACCCGGGAAGTGGAGGTTGCAGTGAGCTGAGATCTTGCCATTGCACTCCAGCCTGGGCAACACAGTGAGACTCCGTCTCAAAAAAAAAAGAAAGAAATTGAGTTCTGCTTGGTTTGTGAATAGTCAGTGCTCAATGCTTAGAATGAAAAAATACAATATACAAAAGATCGTAACTACCAACTTACAGCTGCCAACTCAACTACTTCTTGTTTCTTCATTTGTAATATGGAATAAGTGGTTCTTTTTTCATTTGTATTTATTTATTTATTTTGAGATGGAGTTTCGAGCTTTTTGCCCAAGCTGGAGTGCCATGGCGTGATCTCAGCTCACCACAACCTCTGCCTCCCATGTTCAAGCGATTCTCCTGCCTCAGCCTCCCAAGTAGCTGGGATTATAGGCATGCGCCACCACGCCTGTTGGTCAGGCTGGACTCGAAGTCCCAACCTCAGGTGATGTGCCCTCCTCGGCCTCCCAAAGTGCTAGGAATACAGGCGTGAGCCACTGTACCTGGCCATTTTGTGTGTGTGTGTGTGTGTTTTTTTTTTAAGATGGAGCCTCGCCCTATTGCCCAAGCTGGAATGCAGTGGTACAATCTCAGCTCGCTGCAACATCCTCCTCGTGGGTTCAAACGATTCTTCTGCTTCAGCCTCCCTAGTAGTTGGGGCTACAGGCGTGCACCACCACATTGGCTAATTTTTGTATTTTTAGTAGAGATGGGGTTTTACCATGTTGGCCAGGCTGACCTCCTGACCTCAGGTGATCTTCCCGCCTCAGCCTCCCAAAGTGCTGAGATTATAGGTGTAAGCCACTGCGCGTGGCTTGGAATAGTGGTTCTTAACTCAGACTGCTTGGGTTAAATTCTGGCTCTACCACTTACTAGCTGTGCCATCTTGGGCAAGTTCCTTATTTCTCTGTGTCTTTGTTTTATCTGTGAAATAGGGATAATAAAGAGTGCTAACCTCATAGTTTGTGCAGATGAAATGAATGAGTATGTGTAAAACATGGGTCATATTGCTTAACCCATGGTAAATACTCTTTGAATGTATTCTATAAATGTTAAATTATCAAGATCTATTCTCTTCTTTAAAAATCTTGTTTGTTAAATGTTTTCAGATAAAAATTACTTCATATTTAGTTACCTCTTTTTGTTACTCATTTTCCAGATTATAGATATCAGTGATGTGTTTAGAAACACAGAGATCAGATTTCTTCAAGATGCACTTAGTAAGCCCCATGGAACTGTCAAAGCCATATGTATCCCTGAAGGAGCAGTAAGTGAAGTACAGTTCTATGTTTCTCTAGAATGTATGCTTTGGAAGTAAATATGTTTGACACTGTCGTATTTGAACTTCAGAAAGAACAATTCTTTTTAAATAAAAATAAGTATTTTTGCCGGGTGTGGTGACTCATGCCTGAAATCCTAACACTTTGAGAGGCTGAGGCAGGTGGATCAGTTGAGGTCAGGAATTCAAGACCTCAACTTGTCTTGAGAGGTAGAAACCTTGTCTCTACTAAAAATACAAAAATTAGTTAGGCATGGTGGCAGGCGCCTGTAATCCCAGCTACTTGGGAGGCTGAGGCAGGAGAATCGCTTGAACTTGGGAGGCAGAGGTTGCAGTGAGCTGAGGTCATGCCATTGCACTCCAGCCTGGGCAGCAAGAGTGAAACTCCATGTGAAAAAAAAAATGTCTAAAAGTGTTTCTAAAACTATAAGTAGAGAACAGTAAAATCTTATGAATATGAGTTTACATTCCAGATCCAGGGTGGGGTTTTTTTGTTTTTTGTTTTTTTTTTTCCTTTTAAACAATACTATAAGCCGGGCATAGTAGCTTATGCCTGTAATGCCAACATTGTGGGAGGCCAAGGCAGAAGAATCGCTTAAGGTCAGGAGTTTGAGACCAGCCAGAGCAACATAGAGAGACATTGTCTCTACAAAAAAAAAAACAAAAATTAACCTGGTGTGGTGGCTCACACCTGTAGTCCTAGCTATTTGAGAGATTGAGGTCAGAGGATTACTTGAGGCCAAGAGTTCAAGGCTGAAGTGGGCCATGATTGTGCCATTGCATTCTAACCTGGATGACAGAGCAAGACCCTGTCTCAAAATAAATAAGTAAATAAATGATGCTATGAAGTACTCATGTACTTCATTGTGGATAGTATGTGAGCATAAAATAATACTTAGTATCTGTCTGCAGCCTCAGTTTGTCTGTCTGTCTCTTAGCCCTGTATCAGCTCCAGTATACCCATCACATGTTGATTCTTGATCTTCTGAGAGTTCTCATCTCAATTGCATTGATAACAGGGAAATAAAAGGAGATGGAGCTAATAAAGCAAAAAGGAAGGGGAGGAAGTAGGGATAGAAGAGAGAAAGAGAGAATGGTTGGACTGAGTAAGCATTGACTCTAAAACAATAGTATAAATCTCTTTTCTGTAAGTAGGATATCTGCTTTAAAAGTAATTTTATGACCGGGCATGGTTACTCATGCCTGTAATTTCAGCACTTTGTGAGACCAAGGCGGGCGGATCATGAGGTCAAGAGATCAAGACCATCCTGGCCAACATGGTGAAACCCCATCTCCACTAAAAATACAAAAAATTAGCTGGGCATGGTGGTGTGCACCTGTAGTCCCAGCTACTCAAGAGGCTGAGGCAGGAGGATCGCTTGAACCCGGGAGGCGGAGGTTGCAGTGAGCCGAGATCTTGCCACTGTACTCCAGCCTGGTGACAGAGTAAGACTCCGTCTCAAAAAAAAAAAAAAAGTAATTTCATAAGAAGCATTCCAGATATATTTTGAATAAGATTATGATTTTGAAAGTCTATACTCATTTGCATACATAAGCATATTAGTATACTCACAATGGGGTAAGAACTCAGTCTTTTTTTTTTTTTTTTGAGATGGAGTTTTCGCTCTTGTTACCCAGGCTGGAGTGCAATGGTGCGATCTCAGTTCACCACAACCTCCGCCTCCTGGGTTCAGGCAATTCTCCTGCCTCAGCCTCCTGAGTAGCTGGGATTACGGACATGCGCCACCATGCCCAGCTAATTTTTTGTATTTTTAGTAGAGACGGGGTGTCACCATGTTGACCAGGATGGTCTTGATCTCTTGACCTCGTGATCCACCTGCCTCGGCCTCCCAAAGTGCTGGGATTACAGGCGTGAGCCACCGCGCCCAGCAGAACTCAGTCTTATTACATTTTATTTACTTCATATATTCAATGAAAAGTCATTTATTGTCAGGCTGGGTGTGGTGGTTCATGTCTGTAATCCCAGCACTTTGGGAGGCCAAGGCGGGCGGATCACTTAAGATCAGAAGTTCAAGACCAGCCTGGCCAACATGGCAAAACCCCCTCTCCACTAAAAATACCAAAATCAGCTGGGCATTGTGGTGGGTGCCTGTAATCTTAGCTACTCAGGAGGCTGAGGCAGGAGAATCACGAGCCCAGTAGGCAGAGGTTGCAGTAAGTGCGAGATCATACCACTGCACTCCAGCCTGGGCGACAGAGTGAGACTCTGTCTTTAAAAAAAAAAAAAAAAAAAAAGTAATTTATTATTCATACTCTAGTCCAGACATAAGAAATATGTTCAGGCTAGGCCAGCCATGGTGGCTCACACCTGTAATCTCAGCACTTTGGGAGGCCAAGGCGGGCAGATCACCTGAGGTCGGAAGTTCAAGACTAACTTGACAAACATGGAAAAACCCTGTCTCTACTAAATATACAAAATTAGCCGGGTGTAGTGCCACATTCATGTAATCCCAAGTACTCAGGAGGCTGAGGCAGGAGAATCTCTTGAACCCCGGAGGCGGAGGTTGCAGTGAGTGGAGATCACACCATTGCACTCCAGCCTGGACAACAAAAGCAAAACTTCTCAAAAATAAAAAAGAAAGAAATATGTTCAGGTAAGCTCAGTATAATATTTTGCCTAATATTATTTACACCATTTTGAGTTTGTCCATTCTTCTTCAAGTAGATACAAGAACTGCAGGAGCATGGATCATGTTTCATCTTTTTATACCTCCCACACCTAGTTAAATGCGGCATGAATATAGCTAATGGTGCATGGTATATGGTAGAAATAAGATGGTCAAAGTATGATTTCACAAATCACATGGTTTATTGCCATACAAAGAGAATATTTTCTTAGGTTCACAATGCTTAAAAGAGAGAGAGAATAAGTGTCGGGTGCAGTGGTTCACACCTGTAATCCTAGCACTTTAGGAAGCCGTGGTGAGCGGATCACAAGATCAGGAGTTCGAGACCAGCCTGGCCAATATGGTGAAACCCTGTCTCTACTAAAAATATTTTTAAAAATTAGCTGAGTGTGGTGGTGCGCTGTAGTCCCAGCTACTCAGGAGGCTGAGGCAGAAAAATCGCTTGAACCCGGGAGGCAGAGGTTGCAGTGAGCCAAGATCATGCCACTGCACTCCAGCCTGGGTGATGAAGTGAGACTCCATCTCCAAAAAAAAAAGGAGAGAGAGAGAGAGAGAATAATATGAACAAACCTCACAGGGAATACACTAAATAGTTGAGGTGTATTAACGACATAGTGAGTGAGTTCCAAAATTATTAAAGTCCGCTTGCTCTATTAGAATGGAAGCAGGCCTCTGGGAAAAGTAAAGTCTAATTAAAGTTCGAGGTGTACTCTTATGTGAGCAGTTTTTGGGAGAAGCTGGTTTGACCGCCACAGTATAGACTACACCTAAGATCCCTCCATGCTAGAGGGTAGTGCCAGTGTGGGTGGGCAAGCCTTAGAGGTTAGCTGAAAGGCTAACAGGGTGTCACCCATCTCTTGGTTTTCAGAGAAGCAGTTGACAGAGTATAGCCAGTAACAGTGCTATCAAAGTGTCTGTGAAACTCTTAAGTTTATATGTATTTTTGAAGTCTAGTAGTTGAGGTCAGTAATTCACACAGGGGCGTTATGATAAGGTTTGAGGTAACATTCCTCAGGGGAAGAGGGAATTCACTCCAAGTTCTCACATAGGGGATCTGATAAGACATCACACTCTCGAAAGGAGGGGGAATACACCCCAAAACATCAAACTGTGTTTGGATCATTTTAAAGGTATATAACATGATAACCATAGTGTCTCACTTGAAAGACATTGAGATAATTTCAAAACAGGTAGAATTTTAAGAAACCTCAAATAATCAAATTCTGAATCCTCTTATTGGTCTGAAAGTTTTCTTTCACAGTTCAGTTGTAGACATTCATTTTGAACATTTATCCTGCTTATTATATATAAAGGATCTTCTGAGGAATACATTCACAGCCATTTCCAATAAGAGCTGCTTGCCAGGCGCAGTGGCTCACACCTGTAATCCCAGCACTTTAGGAAGCCAAGGCGGGCAGATCGCCTGAGGTCGGGAGTTCAAGACCAGCTTGGCCAACATGATGAAACCCCATCTCTACAAAAAATACAAAAAATAGCCGGGTGTGGTGGTGCGCACCTGTAGTCCCAGCTACTCAGGAGGCTTAGGCAGCAAAATCACTTGAACCCAGGAGGTGGAGGTTGCAGTGAGCTAAGATCATGCCACAGCATACCAGCCTGGGTGATAGAGCTAGATGCCATGGCAAAAAAAAAAAAAAAAAAAAAAGATCTGCATACCTGGAAAAAATAAGCACTGTAACAAGCTTTAAAAATGTGTCATTTGGCAGCAGAAATTGAATTTTGTTTTTCTTTTTTTTGAGATGGAGTGTTGCTTTGTTACCCAGGCTAGAGTGCAGTGGCACAATCTTGGCTCACTGCAACCTCCACCTCCTGAGTTCAAGTGATTCTCCTGCCTCAACCTCCTGAGTAGCTGGGATTACAGGCGCCTGCCACCAGACCCTACTAATTTTTGTATTTTTAGTAGAGACAGGTTTTCACCATGTTGGTCAGGGTGGTCTCCAAGTCCTGACCTTCAAGCAATCCACCCACCTTGGCCTCCCAAAGTGCTGGGATTATAGGCATGAGCCACGTCGCCCAGCCAAGACATTGAATTTTTATTAAATCTTATTATTGTAATAGAAGACACAAAATCTATTTGTCATTTGATAGCATAAACATGTTTATGAAGCGAAGTGTCATAATGACAAGTTTACTTTGATTTTTCTTTCATCAGAAATACTTAAAAAGGAAAGACATTGAATCCATTAGAAAATTTTCAGCTGACCATTTTGATCAGGTAAGGAGTTAATTAGAGCAGTTACTTTCCTTATAGAGATTCACTAATTTTAACTATTATTAACTAAATTATCATTATCATTAGTTTTGAACATCTTGTTATTTGAGATCATTCTTCTATTTGTTTTTTATTTTATTTGTGTATTTATTTTGGAGATGTAGTCTTAGTCTGTTGCCCAGGCTGGAGTGCAGTAAAGCCGTCGTATCTCACTGCTGCCTTGATTTCCTGGGTTCAGGCAACACTCCTGCCTCTGTCTCTCAAGCAGCTAGGACTACAGGCTCAGGCCACCATGCCGCCCAGTTGTATCCCTAGTCCCAGCTACTTAGGATGCTGAAGTGGGAGGATCACCTGAGCCTCAGGGGCCGAGGCTACAGTGAGCTGATATCCCGCCACTGCACTCCAACCTGGCATCAGAGCAAGACTCCATATCCAAAAAAAATTGGGCTGAGCACAGTGGCTTACACCTGTAATCCCAGTACTTTTAGGAGGCTGAGGCAGGCAGATCAGTTGAGGTCAGGAGTTCGAGACCAACCTGGCCAACATGGTGAAACCCCATCTCTACTAAAAATACAAAAAATTAGCTGGGAGTGGTGGCACACATTTATAATCCCAGCTACTTTGGGAGGCCAAGGCAGGAGAACCCCTTGAACCCAGAAGGCAGAGGTTGCAGTGAGCTAAGATCATGCCACCACACTCCAGCCTGGGCGAAAGAGTGATACTCGGTCTCTAAATAAATAAATATTAGCTGGGCATAGTGGCACATGTCTGCAGTCCCAGCTACTTGGGAGACTGAGGCAGGAGAATCACAAGTCCAGGAGATCAAGGCTGCAATGAGCTATGATCATGCCACTGCACTCTAGCCTGGGTGGCAGAGTGAGACCCTGTGTCTAAAAGAAATAAAGGATCCAGCCAGGCAAGGAAGTGCACAGCTGTAATCCCAGCACTTTGGGAGCCCAAAATGGGAATATCACTTGAGCCCAGAAGTTTGAGACCAGCCTAGGCAACATAGTGAGACCTCATCCCTATAAAAACTAGAAAAAAATTTAACTGGGCATGGTGGCACACACCTGTCATCCCAACTACGTGAGAGGCTGAGGTGGGTGGATCACTTGAGCCCAGGAGATCGAGGCTGCAGTGAGCTATGTTCATGCCACTGCACTCCAGCCTGGGCGATAGCATGAGACTCTGTCTCAAAAAAAAAAAAGGGAGGGAAAGAATCTTAGGTATGATAACAGGAATAAAATGAAACCATATAGGAGTAATTAAATAAATTATGATATAATCAAAGGAATATTAAAGTTCCTTTTTAAAATTTTGTTTTCTAAGACTTAATAGAGCAAAAATGCTTTTGTAATGACATGTATCAAAACGAGGCTATAGGATTATATTTATACTGATCATAACCATGTGAAAACACTGTATTTGTATACTGAAAATGGACTACCTACCTCTACCGCCACTATTTCCCAAGCCTCAAGCACAAAGAACAATAAGTAGATTTTTATATGAGAAAAAAATTGTGGCCGGGCGCGGTGGCTCAAGCCTGTAATCCCAGCACTTTGGGAGGCCGAGGCGGGTGGATCACGAGGTCAAGAGATCGAGACCATCCTGGTCAACATGGTGAAACCCCATCTCTACTAAAACTACAAAAAATTAGCTGGGCATGGTGGCGTGTGCCTGTAGTACCAGCTACTCAGGAGGCTGAGGCAGGAGAATTGCCTGAACCCAGGAGGCAGAGGTTGCAGTGAGCCGAGATCGCGCCATTGCACTCCAGCCTGGGTAACGAGCGAAACTCCGTCTCAAAGAAAAAAAAAAACAAAAAAAAATATTAAGGTAGTAGTTTCCAAAATGGGGTGAGACAAAAACAGAAAAGTCAGGGCAATATAACAAGCTTTTAATAAAGTTAAATAAATTTGAAGAACTATCCTTTATTTCTGTCTTTGCAGAGGTGTTGGGGTGGTGGAATATGGCTTTTCTTTATAAAGTTAAAAATTGGCAACGCTTTATCTTCCAATTTTGTTTATTTTTATTTTATAGTATATAAAATCTGCATCTAAGAACCACAGGACCAGAAAATAAGCCTGAAGGTTAACTTTGGCAGCCTTCAGTTGATGGGACTGTTATTACATTTTCTTCTTTCATTCTTTTCTTTCTTCTCCTGTTTTCTTTTTCCTTCCTAGTTTCCTGAATTTTTATATAAGAAATGGGTACTGGCCAGGCGCGGTGGCTCACGCCTGTAATCCCAGCACTTTGGGAGGCCGATGCAGGCAGATCACTTGAGGTCAGAAGTTTGAGACCAGCCTGGCCAACATAGTGAAACCCCATCTCTACTAAAACTACAAAAATTAGCCAGGCATGGTGGTGCACATCTGTAATCCCAGCTACTGGGAGGCTGAGGCAGGTGAATCACTTGAGCCCCGGAGGCAGAGGCTGCAGTGAGCCAAGATCAGGCAACTGTACTCCAGCCTGGGTGACAGAGACTACATCTTAAAAAAAAAAAAAAAAAAAAAAAAAGCTGGTTGGAAACCCAAGATCCGTAAAGAAGCTTTGTAAATGGTTAGGTTTAGTTTAGCATGAGCAGCAAGACTGCTGTCTGTTTTTGTTGTTGTTGTTGTTGTTGTTGTTTTTTGTTTTTTTTTTGTGGAAGAGCTATTTATTAGAGACAGAGCAAGAGACAACGAGACAGCTCCCATGCTGTTGTAGGAGGGGAATCCAGAGAGGGCTATCCCCTGCTGTCTGTTATCCTAAGCATTCAAGGCTTAAAAGTCCTGAGCCTCTCCAGAACTCTGCAGGGTAAAATCAGTTCCTTATGCTGAGGCCACTTCCATTGTTCTTTATGCCAGACCTTCCTGCACCTTGTTTCTTTAATCATTCCTGCTCAAGTCACTTGCAATCTGCCAAAAAGTCACAGAAATCGCTCATCTGCTGATATTACTCTCCATTCTTCATCCTCCTCCCACTCCTTTTTTTTTTTTTGTCTTGCTCTGTCACCCAGGCTGGAGTGCAGTGGCCCAATCTCAGCTCACTGCAGCCTCTACCTTTCAGGCTCAAGTGATTCTCATGCCTCAGCCTCCCAAGTAGCTCGGATTACAGGCGCACACAACTGGCGCAGCTAATTTTTGTATTTTTAGTAGAGATGGGGTTTCACCATGTTGGCCAAGCTGATGTTGAATTTCTGGCTTCCAGTGATCCACCCACCTCAGCCTCCCAAAGTGCTGGGATTGCAGGTATGAGTCACAATGCCAAGCCCACTTTATAAAATTCCCTTAGTATCATTTTGAAGGGGTTCAGGGAGATAATAGAGACAATATCTTTTAAATTCTCTTCGTCTAGAAAATTCTTTTCTACCAGAAATCTTTGTACTATAAGAAGATAAGCCGGGCGCGGTGGCTCAAGCCTGTAATCCCAGCACTTTGGGAGGCCGAGGTGGGTGGATCACAAGGTCAAGAGATCGAGACCATCCTGGTCAACATGGTGAAACCCCGTCTCTACTAAAACTACAAAAAATTAGCTGGGCATGGTGGTGCGTGCCTGTAATCCCAGCTACTCAGGAGGTTGAGGCAGGAGCATTGCCTGAACCCAGGAGGCGGAGGTTGCGGTGAGCCAAGATCGCGCCATTGCACTCCAGCCTGGGTAACAAGGGAAACTCCGTCTCAAAAAAAAAAAAAAAAAAAAAGAAGATAAATTAATCCCACTGTTTAAAAAAAAAAGTGTGAATAAGTCTTTTTCTTTTTCACAGGAAATCTTACCTGTATTCCTTAACACCAACAGAAACTGGAATTCTCCAGTTGCTAACTTCATAATGGAGTCGAAAAGACCAGAATTAATCAGACTAATGGAGACCCAAGAGGAAGATGTGGTCCTACTAACAGCTGGAGAGCACAATAAAGCAGTAAGAAAAATTACCTCCAAGCATCAATGCTGTTGATGGTGAACCATACCTTACTCTCCTATGTGTATAGTATATATTTGAACTATAGACTGTTAATTCATAAAATGGAGCTGCTCTGTATAAATCTTTTTTTTTTTAAGAGATGGAGTCTCGCTCTGTCGCCCAGGCTGGAGCGCAGTGGCACAATCTCAGCTCACTGCAACCTCCAACTCCTGGGTTCTAGCAATTCTCCTGCCTCAGCCTCCTGAGTAGCTGGGATTACAAGCGCACGCCACCATGCCTGGCTAATTTTTTGTATTTTTATTAGAGACAGGATTTCACATGTTGTCCAGACTGGTCTCAAACTCCTGAGCTCAGGCAATCCACCCGCCTCAGCATCCCAAACCTGCTAGGATTACAGGCATGAGCCACTGCACCCAGCCTGCATAAATCTTACAATACTTTATAATGCACTGTATGAAAACTAAGAGTGGGCCAGGCGCAGTGGCTCATGCCTGTAATCTCAGCACTTTGGGAGGCCAAGACTGGTGGATCACCTGAAATCAGGAGTTCAAGACCAGCTTGGTCAATGTGGTCATATCTACTAACAATACAAAAATTAGCCAGGCGTGGCGGCGGGCACTTGTAGTCTCAGCTACTCAACAGTCGAAGGCAAGAGAATAACTTGAACCCGGGACGCAAAGGTTGCAGTGAGCCAAGATCATGCCACTGTACTCCAGCCTGGGTCGGTCTCAAAAAAAAAAAAAAACAACTAAGGGTTGTTTTCATTAGCTACCAGCCTCCATTGACATTAATTAGACCTGACCCTAACTGGGAAATCCGGTTAGATAAAGGGGTAGTGAAATTAGTCATATGACCATGAAAAAATATTTTCAGTGTCAAGATTTTACAGATGAAGAAAATTAGGTAGTCTCAAACTTTTGTACATAATGGATTCCTGAATTGTGGAGGGACGGATCAGGCCACTGGAGAGCTGGTGGGTTCACAGACACCCCTGGACCAACTTGGTCAAAGTAGGACCCTTTTTCCTCAAAAACAGCAGCTGTAGGTGGCGGTGCCATCATGCACTAGCTGAGTCAGCATTCTTTGGGGGATACGGAAGACCGAATTAGCTTTAGGGATCTTTGTAAGATACAGAAAAGTATAGTACAAAGTCAAACATGAATATTTAAAATGTACTGTAAAGATCAAGCATGATATAAATTTATTGTTTTACTTTAGTACATAGTTTTTTCAAAATGATAGTGTGTCTGACTCATACTTCATCAAGTTTTCTTCAAATCTATATTCTCATTTATCATTGTTTCTTCCAAAGAAAAAGTTTCAGAGTCCAGCTTCAGAGCTAAATGTAATGCCCTGTCTCCCCTTCCCCTATAATAGTAGAATAAAGAAAGCTAATTTATTTCCAAATTTTATTATGAATGCATTTCTTAAAAAAGAACATAGGATTCTGTTGCAAACTTATTTGGATATTAAACGTTCTCTTGGTATGAACTAAACATGCTGGTGTTTCATTCTCGGGAAGGTATAGTTCTGATTCCTACAATGCCTTCCTTGAAAGAGAGCTAGAAACCAGACTTTCGAGGAATAACATTAGCATTCTGAAAATGTCACAATGAAGGTCCTTTATGTAGACATAAATATAAGATAGACTGGGCTACAAAATAACACCCTATCATGTCTCCAGGCATATGTCACTGTTCTAACCAACTGTCCTTTCTCAGGGAAGTTCTGCACACCATAGGTAGCACTTATTAAGCACTTACTATTTGCCAAGCCCTGTTCTAAGTACTTTGTAGACATTAACTCATTTAACCCTCATGCCAACCCTATAAGGGAAGTTCTGATACTGTTGCTATTTTAAAAATAAGTGAGGCACAGAGCTTAAAATTTTGCTCATAGTCACATAGCTAGGAAGTGGAGGAGCCAGATTTCTAACTCATGAAGTTGGGTTCCAAAATTCGCACTCGTTTTTTTTTTTGAGTCTATCTCTGTCGCCCAGACTAGAGTGCAGTGGATCTCAGCTCCCTACAACATCCGCCTCATGGGTTCAAGCGATTCTTCTGCCTCAGTTTCCCAAGTAGCCGGGATTACAGGCACATGCCACCATGCCTGGCCAATTTTTGTATTCTTAGTAGATGGAGTTTCACCATGTTGCTCAGGCTAGTCTCAAACTCCTGACCTCATGGTCCCCCCGCCTCGGCCTCCCAAAGTGCTGGGATTACAGGTGTGAGCCCCTCTGCTCAGCCACACTCTTAAATGAATCTCTAATCCACATTACCTGTAGTGATAGCCAGCCTTTACTGAACATTAACCATGTGCCAGGAACTCACCAAATCCTCACCACAACCCTTCAGGAGAAGTGAGGAAATAATCAGAATGACTGCCACTCACATACTTTGGCAGACCCTGCACCTTACGTACATTATCTCACTTAAGCTTCACTGCAGTCTTTTTGAGTTGATATTTTTAACCCCATTTTACAATGAAAAAGGTTACAGAGAAGTTAGTAATAAGCCACACTGAGATTTAGACCCAGGTCTATGAACTGCTGATCCCTGTGTTTTTAATCGCCGAGTTACTAGGTACTTACCCAGTTGGTTGAGTCTGACAATTGTTCTCAACCATGTTGCAGTCAGATTCCTCAGATCTTTGTGTTCTGAGAGGCAATGAGCATCCTATCTGTTAATTGGCTAATCCTTTCCTAGAGAATGGCCTGGCTTCAGAATCCAGGCTGTGTCATTTGCTGCCTGTTCTGTCAAGAAGTTAACTCAGTGTTTATGTCTTCTGTTTGCAGTGCTCTTTGTTGGGAAAATTACGACTGGAATGTGCTGACCTTCTAGAAACAAGAGGAGTGGTGCTCCGTGACCCCACTCTGTTCTCTTTCCTTTGGGTAGTGGATTTCCCACTCTTCCTCCCCAAGGAGGAAAATCCCAGGGAGCTGGAATCGGCCCACCACCCATTTACCGCTCCCCACCCCAGTGACATACACCTCCTTTACACTGAGCCCAAAAAGGTACTGTATCTCTACTTCCAAATCAAAAGGAAGTATGTATATAATGGCAAAGAACTTCAGACTTCAAAGTCTGATGATAGATAGGACCCAGTTCTGGACGCCTCAGAAGAAATTGTGGGGTTTGAGTTAGTAGTTAATACATTGTCTTTGGCCGGGCACGGTGGCTCAAGCCTGTAATCCCAGTACTTTGGGAGGCCGAGGCGGGTGGATCACAAGGTCAAGAGATCGAGACCATCCTGGTCAACAAGGTGAAACCCCGTCTCTACTAAAAATACAAAAAAAAAATTAGCTGGGCATGGTGGCGCGTGCCTGTAATCCCAGCTACTGAGGAGGCTGAGGCAGGAGAATTGCCTGAACCCAGGAGGCGGAGGTTGCGGTGAGCCGAGATCGCGCCATTGCACTCCAGCCTGGGTAACAAGAGCGAAACTCCATCTCAAAAAAAAAAAAAAAAAAAAATT